GGGCCAAAGTTGGGAGGCAAGGTGGGAGGGAGCAGCTGCTGTCCTTGGGCTCCACATCTCATTGCCAAAGTCCCACGTGGGTTTTCTGAGCCCCTGTGCAAGAGGAGATCCCACTGGAAGGGGCAGCCGGCAGATCTCCCCTCTGCCTGGCCACTCACTGGAGACACCTTGAAGATGACACCTTACGGGTTGAGACTGGTCTTCCATTCCCAGATATTTTTGATGCTGGGATCTGTGCAACCACCTCTGAGTTGCAGGAAGAGAAAGCCACAATCTCTTTTCCCATCCTTTGTTACTGCCTTCTTTCAGGGGCCGCTCAGGGAGCGAGCTCAGCCTCACCACAGCCCCTTCAACAGACGTTTTTTCATGACCCAGCAGATCCCGGGGTGTCTGTGCCAGCTTTCAAGCTTTCCACTGCCGGCTGGAGGGTGGGCACAGCAGTGTCCTCATCTGTTTTACAGTGCAGTCCCACTTCAACCCCAATTGCATGGATTTGGGTTATTTCTTGATCCAGCTCAGCTCTGCCAATATTTCGAGTGATCCTTCCCCAGTGGAGGCTGGGGCAGTGCTGGTGGGATGCTCCTGGGGGGTGGCAGAGGGTGGTGGTCACTGCCAGTGGCACTCTGCTCCTCTGGCTGTGCCTGATCAGTGCAAATCCAGATGCAGGGCTTAGACACCCTGCAGCCTCACAGGGCGAGCGGGGGGATGGGAGAGGTGCTGAGCCCCTTTTTCTCTCTGTGGGGCAGCTGAGGATGCTCTGCACAGCAGCCCTGGGCTCTCACCCCTCATGCAGCCGCAGATGGAGCCCGCTCTTTCCCCCCCTCTCACAAAATGCCGAAATAACAGCAATGGGTGTCCTGTTTCAGAGCGAGCATCATGTTTAGCAACACTCTATGTGGACACAGCACTTTTCAATCATGGCTCACGAAACTCCCTGCCAGCGGCTGCATTACGCTTCCCTTGAATTAAAGACTTCCAGGAGTTCCCAGTGGAAGGCACTGCCGCTTCTCCTCACCCGTCGGTATGGCTGTTGCCATTTCGCTCCTCCCCCCCCGTCGGTATGGCTGTTCCCAGCCGTAACCGAGTGACTCCAGTTTGCAATAACCTCTCGGATTTGTTTTCTTGAATCTCCTGACCTTGGAGCGCATCTGTCCCTTTTTAGGCTGTCGTCTGCTGTCCTCACTCCTGAACTCACCCAGCGAGGTGCTGGGTGCTCGCAGCTCTGAGCGAAGCCAGTGGCCATATAGGCTGCAGGTCATGGTGCAGGGTCTCTGTCTTCTGCGGCGGCGGTGTGAGGAGGGCAGGGCGCTGGCAGCTCTGAGGACGGACAGGCTCAGCACGTAAGGAAGGGGCCGGGGGCTGCAGCTGCCTTCACGCCAGTTCTGTCCATTCTTCGCCATTGTCAGGGTCATTGGAAAGACAGGAAGCGTTTTTGGAAGGCGGCTGATGGGTCTCCAGGGGGCCAGTGTCAATCACGATTAGCTGTTTTGTGCTTAATTATTTTCCAGGGCTTTGGCATCAGCGTGGCGCTCAGTGTGCCCTCGCTCCCGGCTCACTCCCAGCCGCGCATTCTCAGGCGTGACCCCGCTGCGGTGCGGGGAAGGTGAAAGCAAACAAAAGCAGCCTCTCGACACGGGCTTGCTGGCATGAACACAGATGGTTTTGAAGCACGTGGCTCTGCTCAGAGTCTCAGGTGCTCATTTTCCTGGAGCTGAGTGTGCCCAGCGGCGTCCGGGTGCAAGCGATGGCATCCCCCGCTGAGCCCCAGTGCCGTGGGGGGGCACCTTCCCTGATGTGCTCTGCCTTGTCCCGCTCTCTTCCATCCTCTGCAGAGCCCTGCCTGCTCTGCCTGCCTGTATGGCCCGCTCCCCCAGCCCCTCTCCCAATGGCTCTGCGTGAGCTTCGGCAAGCCCCTCCCGGCAGAGCATTGATCTATTATTTAGTGACAGAGGTGATGAATATTTGATTGGATGGGGGGAAAGAGAGGGCCTCGGTGCACCAAGAGGGCTGTGACTCTTGGGTGTCAGTGTCCTGCTGGTGTGATGCGGGAGAGTAGCTGGTTGTCCTTCCCAGGGGGTTTG